CCCCCCCCCCCTGCTCCATCGTCCAACAATCGCAGTCGTCTGAGGTCAGCCTCCATCTGCTCGGGCGAGCCGGGAGCTGGGAGCTGGGAGCTGGGAGCTGGGGCTGGGAGCTGGGGCTGGGAGCTGGGGCGGGGGGCGGGAGGACGGTACACCCAACTCCACGACGATTTTCATGGCCGGGAGAGTATGCGGAAAGCTGTCGATGCGGCAGTGTGTATGGGGTGTGTGTGGCGTGGCTGTGGTGGTCATGGCTGTGGCCGTCGTCTCGGTGGCTGCTGGACTGACTGACTCGGCCGATGAGGTCAGAGTGCCGACGGGCAATGTCGGCGATGTGGCGTGCATGGCAGAGACGACTGCGTCCATCAATGCAAGGATCGTAGCACCTGCTCTAGAGAAGCTCGTCCACTCTACCTTCTTTCGCTACTTTAAGGTCGATCTCTACAGAGACTGCCCCTTCTGGACAGGTACGGCGGTGCTCGCATGACTTCTGCTTGGCCGTTCTCGGCGCTCGCGGCAGAGTGGTCGCGCGGCGGCGGGGGGGGGGGGGGGGGGGCGGGTGATGGATGAGGCGGGAGAGTGAGTGTGGGATCGTATACTCACGTGGGCGTTTGGGTGTGGGCGAACGGGAGAGCAGACAGCGGGTTGTGTATGATGGAGGGCTGCTCTCTCAATCCGTGCTCTCCCTCGGACGTCCCGATGTGCCTCAAGCAACTCGAGGCGGCGGAGGAGCCGGCGTGCGAGCCGTCATCCGAGATGATGCTGTCGTTGGTGGCGGCGGTAGATCCGTTCGGCGCGCGCGCCGCCGATGCTCAGCGAGCTGATGCCGAGGGCCTGCCAGCGTACACGCCCGGGGACGTGTGGATGGTCGACGATGAGGTGCCGCGTGAAGACTCGGCAGCCGAGTTTGTTGATCTGCTCTCGAATCCCGAGCGGTTCACCGGGTACAAGGGCTTTGAGTCCCGGTCGATCTGGGCGGCGATCTACTCGGAAAACTGCTTTCTCGACGAAGACGACGATGAGGACGACGAGGCTGAAGACCTCGACTACGAGGACCCGGTCTTTGGCGACTCTGGCCACGGCCCGCATGCACAGCAGTGTCTCGAGAAGCGGGTCTTCTTCCGGCTCATTTCGGGCCTGCACTCGTCTATCACCTGCCACCTTGTCGATGAGTACTTTTTCGAGGACTCGCAGACGTGGGGCCCCAACCTGGACATGTTCAAGGCGCGGTTTGCGGCGCACCCGGAGCATCTCGACAATCTGTACTTTGCGTACATGCTTGCGCTCCGCGCCTTTGACAAGGCTGCGCCGCTGCTCTCGGCCTATCACTATCGCACCGACAACGCGAGCGAGCAGGCTGCCGTTCGCATCACCATGGGCGAGCTAGTGGAGACGCTGCGCGGCGAGCTCACCGCCGCCCGCTGCGACGTCCCGTTTGACGAGTCGCGCCTCTTCCGCGGGCCCGATGCTGCCGCCCTCCGCGCCGCCTTTCAGCGCAAGTTCTACAACATCTCGCGGATCATGGACTGTGTCGGGTGCTCAAAGTGCAGGCTGTGGGGCAAGGTTCAGATCCGCGGCCTCTCGGTTGCGCTTCGCATCCTGTTTGGCGACGGTAGCGCGAGCAGTCTTGCCAAGCTCACCCGAAACCAGATCCTAACCTTTGTATGGACGCTGCACCGGCTCTCCGAGTCGGTCGCCATCGTCAACCGCATGCACGCCCGTCATGCCCGCGCCACAAGCCTCTGGACCGGCGTGACCGTCCTTGTCCTCGTCGCCGCCGCTGGCTTTGCCACTGCCGTCGTCCGCTGGTTCATCTGCCGCTCATCGCGCGCCCGCCCATCCAAGCTCGCCAAGCAGGACTAGTACGTTTCAGTATGTGCGTTGTCGCCTGCGTTAATGCGCGTGACTGTGGCCTGGAGTGACCCACTTTTTTCCGCGTCGGCACCATCAAAACCACGCAGAGCTTTGGCAAAACTCACCCTGGCACACCAAACACACACACACGTCCGCTCACTATCATGTCGGAAACCACATTCTCTCTGGAAGCTGCGCTCGCCAACCCATCTGGGGTCGTCTCACCCGAGTCTGCAGAGGTGGTCAAGGCGACGGTCGGCGTTGTGGTGCAGCACATCGATACAATTGTTGCTCACTTTTACGATGAGCTCTTTGCTACCGTCCCGGACACCCACTACCTGTTCAACATGTCAAACCAGCGCGATGGCAGCCAGCGCAAGTCGCTGGTGGGAGCACTGCTTGCGGCTTCGCCGGCAACACTGGAGGAGGGCAAGCTCGAGGCGCTGATGGGCCATCTGGAGACCGTCTTCCACAAGCACGTGGCCCTCGGCGTCCGGCCGGACCACTACAAGATTGTCCACGACCACTTCCTGGGAGCCGTGGCGGCCGTGCTTGGCGATGCGGTGACCGATGCCGTGGCTGCCGCCTGGTCCGAAGTCGTTGTCGCCGTCTCGCATGCCTTTATTCGGCACGAGGATCGGGTCCGCACCGCGATGGCCGACGCCACCAGCGGGTGGACCGAGCCTGAGCCGCTCGAGGTGCTGGCCGTCGAGACCGTGAGCGAGGACGAGTGCTGCAAGACGCTGCGGCTGCGGGTCAAGGACGAGTCGCTTCGACCGGTCTTCTCCGCAGGCCAGTACTTGACGGTCCTGCCACCGGCCCAATGGCCGGCGCACGGCCCGCGGCACTACACCATCACCACCGAGCCGAGCGCAGAGCAGGTTGCCGCCCGTGAGCTCTCCATCACAGTCAAGAAGCTCGAAGGTGAGAGCGCCGAGACGCCGGACGGCCTCTTCTCGTCGTGGCTCACCTCGCTCGAGGCCGGCGCCGAAATCAGGGCACGCGCGCCCATGGGCGGCTTTGGCCGCCCGGCAAGCCTCGCCAGTAACCCGGTCGAGGTCTTTATCGGCGCGGGAATCGGCGTTACTCCGCTGCTGCCAATGGCATCGCAGGCGACGGCCGCCGGCTCCAAGGTCATCATTTTCACCTCGGCGCGGACGCGCAAGGCCGCGGCGCTCGAGCCTGCTCTGGCCGGCCTTGCTGGAGCTACTATCGTGCATCGGTACACCCGCGAGGGCGACGCCCGGCTCACCGCAGCTGACATTGTGACCAAGCTGGGCGAAGAGGGTGTCGCCGTGGACGCGCCCGGCCTCTGCGTCTACGTCTGCGGGCCGCGCAGCTTCATGACGACCATGCTCCCGGGACTGGCTGCTGCAGGCGTGGCCAAGACGGCGATCCGGTTCGAGGCCTTTGGCCCGACCGGCGAGCTTGCGGTGTGAAACAAAGCGAGCGTCCGAGTAAAAGCCGCGTTACGCCGAGTCTGGCAGCGAATTGTGGATGCGGGCAACCGCAGCGGCGAGGCGGGTCCGCGACTTGGCGCGCCGCAGCTGCGGGGCATGGACTGGCACAATGCTCAGGTCTGACACCGTGTCAAGGAGCGCGAGGCGGGCGGCGGTGAGGCCAGAGAGCATGCGTGTGGCTGGGACGACAACCAGCTCTGCGGGCGGAACAACCTCGATGGCGGTACGGGCGTCAAGAACGTGGTGCAGAGCGATGGTGACCGGGCCAGCCAGATGCGATGGAACCGTCACCGACGTCCGCATGGCGTCCGGGAACAGCTTGGAGGCTGAAGCAAGGAGCGGAAGCGGCGCCGATGAGCGCAGCCGCGGTGCGAGGCCGAGTGCGGCCTGGATGATTCGGGTAGCATGGAGCGGGACAAGGCCCGGCGCATCGTCGAGGCCAGGCTCGGCAAGGGCGGCGTGTGCAAGCTGAACAAGCGTGGGACGCGAGAGGAGCGCGGCGCGGTGCGGAACGAGCAGCGCATTGGCGGCGGCACCAAGCGCGCGGTGCAGGATGCGAGCCCGCTGGCCGGTCTGCGGCGCGGCGGCAAGGACCGGAACAACCCGGTCGAGCGCCCAAGTGGCCGACGGCGAAGCGTTGAGCTCGGCTAGTGCCGCGTCCCACGCGGGTTCGGGGGCGTCGATGCCGCAGCGTGCGAGCGCGGCGAGCGCGTGTGCATGCGGCGGTCGCGGAGCGTTAGGCAAGGTGTTGAGCGCCGCGAGGCGGAGGGCAGGCGAGACAAGATCGTCCCACCACGATGGCCAGCGGTGCGCAGTCCACGGTGCAGAGCCAACCAGGCGCTCGACAACAGCGCGGAGTGGCGGGTGCTTGTCGAGGAGCGCAATCGAGGTGTCGAGCGAGGCGAGGACGTCCATCATGTGGTCGACCGTTTCTGGCGTGGGTGCGTCGACGTGCGCCGCGGGCTCGTAGAGGGAGGCGACAATGCGGGCGCGGACCTCGTTGCGGCCGATGTGGCGGTGAAGGCGGGCGAGAGTCGCAGCGCGCTGCCACAGCTGGCGGCCCGACTCGGCGGCCTCGAGCCACGGCCCAACAGCATCGCAAAGCGCGCGAGTGACAGGCGCCGAAGTAGTTACGTTGATACCGCCGGTTATGGCAGCGTGGAGGAGCGGGAGGAGCGAGTCGACGAGGGGAGCGGCCGGAAAGGCGTCAACCGACTCGAGCGCGTCCCAGACGAGGGCGGCGGCCGGCGGCTTGGTCGTAGCGGCATCGAGCATACGGGCGAGGGCGGCAATGTCGGCCGGCGACGGCTTGCTCCGCTGCGCGGCCTCTGCGAGCTTGGCTGCCATGTTGCCGCACAGTGCGGCACCCACAGCGGCGGCGCGCGAGCTCGGCGCAGCCATGGCGTCGACGTACAGGCGTGCGACATCGTCGAGCGAGGTGGGGCGTGTCCCGAGAACGCCGGCAATGAGCTCTCGCGTTGCCTCGGTGTCGAGCTGCCAGCGGAGCGCCATTGCAGCGACAAAGCCGTGTGAGTCATTGCTGGAGACCAAGGCCACCGCGGCGTCAACAAGGCGGGAAGCGGTGTCGGGGCGGGCAATGTGGAGGCCGTCGAGAGCGAGGGCGGCAGAGGCGATGTGCTGCGGCGACGCACCATCACAGCCAGCAGCAGCAATGTCATCGATTGCTGCCACAACAGCATCATGCAGAGCCACATCGTCTGCCGTGGACGGGCGAGTCTTGAACACATGGGCGAGCGAGCGCGCGAGCGGCGGGAGGAGCGGCGGGTGCGGGAGAGCAGCGCCGGCGGCGATGTGGGCGGCACCATCATCATGACGAGCAAAACACTTTGCAGCCACATCAGCCAACGGCGGGATTGACTCGAGCGGAGAGTCCCCAGCAGTGGTCAGGACGTGGAGGGCAGTAGCGGTGTGGACTTGCAGCGCATGGAGGTCGGCCTCGGACGACAGGGATGACGGGACGAGGAGCGCAGCTGCAGAGAGTTCTGTGTACGGAATGGCTCGCCCAGGTACAAGGCGAGAGACCACCGCGCGGAGGGCGCTCATGAGCTCGAGGGGGGGGGGGGGGCTGGGAAGAGGGGTATGAGGGTGGGTTTGGGGCAGAGCCAGAGGGAGGGGAGGGGGGCAGTGATGATGATGGTTGTCATCGATCATTGAGGAGATATCGTACTTGGTGGATGTGATAAGGATGTGGGAGGGGGAGTGTGTGTGTGTGGGGGGGGAGTGGGGGGGAGGGAGAGGGAGGGGAGGGGAGGGCGGGAGGGGGGAGGGGAGGACGAAGGACGACTGCTAGGGGCACTTCCCGTTTTGC